TGGTTTGTTTAAAAATGACAGAGCATTCTAATAATTTTAGATATCTGTCAAAACACCTTAATAGAATTTTTGAAACCAATAATTAAAAACATACGTAAAAATTTCACTTCATTTCCACTAATCTCTTTACTCCCAGACAACAGTTACAAGTGAACCAGTTAATACCATGAAAAAAAGACTATGAAAACAAAATACAGCACACATTTCTTAGACAATTTTTGGTGAATAAACAGTGGATCTTTGAGCTCTAGAGCCTGCCATTGCTTTTTTTTATTACTGAACTCACTTCATGCATATCAAATTTTTTTTTTCTTTTGCGAACATTTAATCTCAGATAAACATAACTCAGCTGAATTGAACTAATGTACCAAATGTTGCTTCTGATCAGACATTCGTCCATAATGATGGCAAGCAGCTTGCAGAACAAGGTAATTCCACATTTCAGTGTATTTAGATAATTAAAAAAAATCCTTTTTTTTTTTTTTCTTTTTTCTGTTTCAGAACATAAAAACCATCCACAAAACACCCAACAAAACCAAAGCTTTAAAATGGTACTGTTGGTTGGGCTTACAAGTAAAGATTACTCCAGTTTTATCAAGTATTAATCTTTGTGTTAAATACATCTCCTGGACTTGGAGAACCAGATAGGATCATAGAACAAATGTTAGTACTACATGCATTTGTTCGTCTCTACAAAATAATCTTGGTTATACACTTCATAAACTGTATTGTTCTAAAATGGTAAATATAAACTAGGCTTCTTGCCTGCTACACACCATGCCCAGTATATAAACTGGGGGGAGTCACCTGGAAGGCCCGGATCACGGCTCGGGTCGGGCTGGGTATTAGTCGGTGGGTGGTGAGCAATTGTATCATCTCCCCTTGTTATTTCCCTTATCATTATTATTGGTAGCAGTAGTGGTTTGTATTATACCTTAGTTACTGGAGTGCTGTTATCTCAACCCGTGGGAGTTACATTCCTCTGATTCTCCTCCCCATCCCTCCAGGAGCGTCAGGAGGAAGAAGTGGGGGGAGTGAGCAACCGGCTGCGTGGTTCCGAGTTGCCGGCTGGGCTTAAACCACGACAACTGATTTTGAGTAAACTGTCTGTTAAAGAGCATTGCTCATTTTTAATGTGACAGCTAGGGTTCAGGTAAAACTTCAGGTCTCATTATGCCAGAAACAACCAAATATAGTCTACAAACAGTGATATGAAGGCATGTAATTTGACAAGGAAATGCAAGGGGAGAAAAACATAAATAGGAAAAAGGTCACAGACAGGGTGACTAATATGAATATGTTTGTAAAAATTAGACACTTCTATGCACCTTTCTCTTTTTATTTACTTGGTCTTTGATAGTCAATGGGATGCAATGAAAGTGTAGACCCTAGCTTCCACAGAAGCTGCTTGCAAAAATACTTAGCAGCTGCACAAGACTTGTAAGAGCTAAGGCTAGTTAGCAGTCTTCTCCTTTGAAGAGTGATATATTGTCAAAACCATTAAAATTAGTTATTAGACGAATGAGTGGACCATATCAAATAATCCTTTAAGTTTGTTATCATCATATGATAATGTTTCAGGTTCAATTCTAACATGGTTTTATGCCTAACAAAATCTAGTATCTACAGAATTTAAAATTGATCTGTACATTTGCATTATGTTTACATGTGAAAGAAGCAGCTGACAGCTAGTAGTCCTTGTGTTGAATTTCCAGACAAGAAATGTTTTTTTCTTCTTATGTGACCAATAAATTCAGCTACTGCCTGAAGCTTCACATTTCATTTTCCTTGTAAATGATTGCTGCTTTAAACCATTGGTTATGGTTTATTTATAGAATAATACATAGTTCACAATTAAATGCCAAGCTATAATTGAATCAAAGGATTCTGCTGATGCTTCGACTCACAAGGGTGCAGTTCAAGAGCTTTATAAAGGGCAGCAGAATCTGCGTCTAAATTACAGCCCCCAGTATTCAGTCTGGGATCACACATTATAATGCGTAATAGGGCTAAAAGGATTATTATAATACTGCAGTAAATAAAAAGAAAATGTATCACACAGCAGAATTCAGAATGCTTGCAGAGGCTTTTAGTTTATGATGTGGGAGGCTAGAGATTATACTGCATGAGAAATGAGGCTAGAGGAAAAGTATTTCATAAACACATTTCTTTATATTCTGAACTTATTGTTAAATAAAAGGAAAATTTATGTTTCATATATTAATCCACAGTAAATTCATAATGTTCTGCTACATGGCTATAGCTGATTGCAGATGCTACATTGCTATTTCCTGGCACAATAGGTCAACAATTATGCTATAGAAGGAAAATAATAATTCACATATATTTGATGGGTTTTGAATAAAATTAGAAACATTGAAAAGTTAAATTTAGTTAATCACAGTGTGAGAATAATATAAATAACCCTGTATTTTTCTAGTACAAAAAAAGTTATCAATCACAAAAATGGTTCATAGATCCAATTCACAAAACCAGTATTCCTTATTTGTGAAAGAAACCTGACTGATAAAGCATACTTTTTTAGGCTAAAATGAGGATTATTTTTGACCTAGATACTTTGTTTTGGTTTAGACGGTGTTTTCTTAAAAATGAGTAATGATAAACCCTTTACACTTTTTTCCACACTGTCTGCTAATTTGTGGTGTATCTGTTGGGCTGTAAGGAAGGACACCAATCAATATTTTGTTATGTAGACATTTAATCCATCAGATGTTTACCCCAGTTCATCACACCAGGCTGTAATTAGCCCAGCAAGTCCCTAATGTGGCCACAGTAACTTTGCACAACCTGTGATGCTGTGGAAACTCAACATATGCCTTCTAAAGTGTTCCTGCATTTTCTTCTGACCCTCTTCAGTGTAGGAGATAAAATAGTGGGCTATAAAGGCATTGATCAAACCTCAGGATAGAATTTCTCTGTGGATTTAGAGTGCAGTTCTTTACAGATCTTACTGGAATTGCAAGTATTCAAGAGTAAATTAGACACTTTGAACATTGTCGAATTTATGTTTACAGAACACCTCCTTGGGAAAGGGTGGGGAAAGGCTGGTAGCTTGTTTTCTGATACCTATCGATCTAATATGTAATGTGGGAAATCACAGATGTGCAAAGTCTTACTTACCACATATGGGAATATAGTGATTTTTAATACGAAGTTCAGCAAAGTCTGCTTCACACTGGCATTATTTTTTTCCTACAGAGCATTTAATACTGAATTGATTTTCAATTCTGAATAATACAAACGTAGTCATTATAACTTCTCTTGGAATCCCATTCTCAAAGTCCAGCTGAGGTCATAGCATATTATTTCCAAAACTATCTTTTAAATAAGTTGTAGTAAGCACTTAAGAAAAATTAGAAGTCATGCAATAAACTCCCAGTGTTGATAAAAAGTCCAATGAATCCACAGATTAAATATTCATACGAAGCACCATAGAGATGCATGATACTAAATCAAGACATAGATGCAACCATTGCTTCAGGGATCATGAGGAACTGAGGAAAGGTAACAGTCTTTCTATTGGGTCGGTTTTCTTCTTTTTTCTTTTTCATTTGAGTATTACTTGCCTTTAGCAATATCATGATGTGAAAGAACAAAGAAATACAGGGCAGGTGGAAAATTTATGTTAATAAATGTAGGAGACATACTAGATTGAACCAGGTAGGAATTTATGGATGTGATGCAGGAAAGGTTACAGCAAGCTGTAGTCCCTGCAATAAATATGCTTACAGAAAGGACAAGGGTGAGAGAGGATAATATTTACTATTAAAAGAGGATTACATTGTCCTTACTGCTACTTTGGCAACTTCAGGCAACAGTAACAAAGATGTCATATTTAGAGAGGTGGTAAGTAAAGATGAGAGATTGTGAGAAGAGCTGGTTTTGGGTGAAACAGAAACAAGATGGGGTATGTGGTATATAAATATTTGAAGCTCTGAATTAGGAAAATATTCTGGTTTAATTATGCAGGACACATACTTGCATCAATAGAAAAATGTTACCAAAGAAGGCCTTTGATGCAGTGTATTGGCCAAAATGTTCCTATCTGCATTGTAATGCAGAGTGTGGATTGCAGGGGATTATGTGTTGCAGATGTGAATGACGGTTTTGTTTTGTTATTGCTTATTTGGATAGTTTGTAAAGCATCTGGGAACATTTGGTAGAAAATAAAAATTACAAACAGAAAAGGCAAAAAAATTCTAAAGACCTCCATTCCCAATTAGATATTTACATTAAACAACCAGTTTTCCAAAAATGCTGTAAAATGGCAAATCCCACTGAAACAGTTTGAAAATATATCCATTTCTCCAAAGTGCCTAATAGAAATCTAAGAGCCTTTGATACCTTTGCATGACATTTTTTTTAATGTTATATCGTTTTAAGGATTGAAGATGAAAAGAATCTCATATCAGAAACATTCATGTGTTTTTGCAATACATGGATTACCAACCAAACCAGTGACCCGATTTAAGATTGTTTTCATGAGTTCACACAGGTTTACACATGAAGAATCTATACAAAATCTTTTGATGTCAAGCTGATCACTGAAACAAGACACTGATTAAATAGTACAGAGAACATATCATTGAAGAACTCTGCCTCTCTTACAGAGATGGTGACAGTTTAAGGAACTAAAACACATGTAAAGCAAATTTGTTAAACCTCTTCATCACAGTTTAATGAAGTATTCATCAAATTAATCCAAATGCCTCTCAGTTTGTGAGATTCAAAATAATTTTTTACCACTATCACTATTTTCACCTACAATATTTTCAGTGTAAATAAAACTTAGTAAATCAAATATGTGCAAAAAGCAAATAAGTATTAATAATTGAGCAAGCTAAGCCAAAATTACTTTAATGAAGGCAAATGCAGAACTCTTCTTGTGACGTTTACCTTGCTACTGAATAAACTGTCCTCACATAGTTCGTATTATGCTGGGCAGAGCCATAGAACATTTCTCCACTGGCAGAACTTACCTCCCCTTCTGTAGACTGTAAGTGCAGTTCCTTCCTACAGGTAGCCTTTAAGTCTCCTGCAGCTGCATTGACTTGCACTCCCCTGGGTGCTTCCATCACCAAAGATCTAGTAGGAGATTCAAGTCTGAAAAACAAAAGCAATCACTGAGAAAAAATGCACCAAATCAAGCCAGCAAAACCCACTCAGCCCCCAAACCCACACTGTATGTAGAAAGGAACGCATTTTGAGAGGTAAAGAAGCAAAAATGAGTTATGTGTGTGGTTCTCCCACTACACTTTATGATCTGCAGCAAGAAAAAATTAAGTACTTGTTTAAATCTATTCCTACTTAAGACAACGTTTAGGCATATGCTGATATAAACTTGTCTGCTTAGTAATGCTTTCCAGCATTAGTAACTAATTTACTTAACTGTACTAATACTGAAATATAGGTACTTAAGAATCCACACGTTTCCACGAGTGTTTCTGTAAAGACAGGTTAATAACTAAAGTCTGCTTAGTGTCTCGTAAGAAATGTTCAACTAAATAAAAAGAAAACAAAACACTTTAAAGTTTTAAGTGGTGATGTAAACCTGATTAGAATTACTCTGCCTTCACAGGCTCATTCATATTCTGGGGGAGGTGTAGCAGCATTATGAATGGAGAGGAAAAGAAAATCTGTTATGTCTCTATTATTGTGGGTTCTTTGCATGGTTTTTCTATTCTGCAAAATATTCATTATGCTCTTTAACTCCGTTATAATAGGGTTAAGACCCATATCACTGGGTCTTGGTATCCTCAAAACAACTACTGTTCTTCTACTGTCAGTCTTTCCATTTCTCTTATTGTATACTCAAGATCCTCCATCAACCTTATTCCAAAACTATAGTACTTTCTTAGCTATGTTATCTCACAGTACTGTATAGGTTTCTCTTAAAAAGGAAGCACTAATGCAAAGATTTCATAGAAGTCAAGCTCACACACTGAACAGAAAAGATGATTGGATGAAAACTGTATTGAACTAAGAGATAAAAATTTGGATTCCAGTTGTGTTCAGCTGCAGACTTACTGTATAGGCCCATCAAGAGGGAGACAAATCTTGTAATCCATTTATTATAAAAATATAATGACAGAACACAATTCCACTTTACCTGAACAAAGGCTTTTTGTAAAACAAAATATATTAATGATACAAATATCTAGAATGAGTAGCTTGAAGAAAATATTGTGTTTCCCTCTTCAACAAATTGCATTTTGAATGTTAGGTCACATCCATCCAAAAATATAATGAGGTATTAGATGTATAAAGGAAAGAGCAGTTTGACAAAGAATTTGCTCAGAAAAGCCAAATGAAGGATCTGTCAAGGAATGGCACATGAGAATTTCAGTGTACTCAACTATTGAATATTTTAAGTGTACAGAATAGTGATGGATTATGATTTTGAAATCAAAAAGCCACATATGCATGCAGATTAAGTCACCGAGATGGTGTCTGTAAAATATTTCTGCTTGTTACATATCACTGAAACTCAGGAGTGAAAGGAAATAAAATGTATCTGGATCTGGATCTGGACCTGTGTCTAAACAGTCCAAGAAGACAAACAGACAAGAGAAGAGTCAGACAATGGGACTCATTTCTGGAACAACCTTATAGACACTTGGGCCAAAGAGCATGACATTGAGTGGGTCTATCACATCCCCTACCATGCACCAGCCTCTGGGAAAATCGAAGTCTTAATATTCATGTTTTTGGGGCCCATAAATTGACAAGAGCATTAATGGGATAAAGAATTCCTGCTATCTGCACCTGCATATATACCATGGAGTACTTGATCTCCTCTGGGTCCTGGCAAAGAATCAGATTAATCCTGCTCCCCATCTTGCTTTTCTGTGCTTCCATTTTTCTTTCCCAAGAAAATGAAGATCTGAGAAATATGATGGAAAGACTGTAATCTTGCCTTCATATGGGGTTCAGATACAACTGAAACAGGGACCTAGAGCCAAAACCCTCTAAAGTTTCTTTGCTTAATGAGTTTGAATACTGTGATTTATTTCAGTAAATCCCATGGGTGGATTCCAAATCACAGAGACTGTTTTTAGGATTAAAAAAAAAAACCCAAAAAAAAACAAACCAGGAAAGCAATTATTTGGTAACACAAATGGAACTATTAAAAGCAGGTGTCCAGATAGAGGACAACACTATTTACAGCTACTTATATAAAAAAAAGCATACATGGGATACATACAGATAGCAGCAGTAGAAAAATCTGTTATTTCTGTTAGTGCTAAGCCATTTTCTCTCTCTTTTATTTTTTTGACACTCTGTAAAGAGAAGTTAATAGAAGATTCTGCAGTTCCTTGTATCAGGAAGAATCTAAGTATTATGAATTATTTAATCGTGTACATCAGTGTTTTGCAAGTGGTGGTTTGTGAACTTCTGATGGCTGTAAGATAGCAGAAAAAGAGCTTCCAAAACCTTTTAGCAACAATATAGAGTTTAGAAATTAGGTTTTTGAAAGTACTGTTGCCTTAACGAGGTATTACCTTAAACTTAAAACTAAACTGAGCTGTATAAATGTTAAATGATTGTATACTGCCATTCCATATTTTTCAGCAGCATATTTTTGTGATTTATAACCTACTTTCCTGGAATATTAACATTTCCTAGTGCTTCCAGCTGCCATTTCATAATCACGAAGACAAAAGTGCTCTTAAATACATTTATTGCATTGAATTGATAGGTATTGGCAAAGTCACAAATATTTCTGGTTTCCTAACATCAAAACCATTCTCAGACCTGACCAAAATTTTTCAGCAGGTGGACAATAAAAATCTATTTAGGAATATGTTTCAAGAAACTATGATTTTGTTTGAAGAATAAACTTTTTTCTTTCTCCTGAAACACACGACAGTGTATAGCTCAGAGTTGTTTTGCCTGGTGTCATCACTGTTTTTCATGAACTACATTAACATAAATGACTTCCAGTTTGTCTGGAAGTCTAGAATAAAGACATTTGGGCAATTAATTTCTGAACTTGAGAAGAAGTTAATAGCAGTCTTTTACACACTGTGGAGAAGAAAATTCTTTTTCAGACAATAGATTTTTTTAGGAGTTTTCTGAAATCATGTAATGTGGTAGAAATTTCAATGAATGGCTGATTATCAGCCACCCATCAACGAGTAAAAACTGCATGCCTAAATCTGTTTTACAGTTACTAACTTACTTTTCTTAATACTATTCTTTGGATGATCTACATCTGAAAAGTGACTTAGCTGCAGAATTTGCAGCATGCTACTGGAAACAGAAAAGTCTGTACATACAGAGAGATTATTTCCTAAATCTTTTGAGATAAATTGGGTTTGATATGCAGCTGGTTTATAATATTTTTGTCATATTTCTGAAAGCTTTAATCTCTACTATAAACTTATTGTAACACTCCACATTGTAATACTCATCCATCCAAGGAAAAATGGATTATTACAATAGCTTATCAAGAATCTGCACTCCTTTCAGATTTACTGATGGCCTGTCACAGTGGCATTTGCATCTATGAGTCCTATTCATACAATTTATTTTTTCTGTGCCAAACAATAAATGGCTATGATGGAGAAGGTACCTACTGCTATTATTAGGCAGAAACTACAACACCATAGGAAAGACAAGCTTTTAAAAGGGGGTTTTCAAATAACATAATCTGTCAATTAACTGTATTTGATGCAGACAGATGATCTATTCAGACCAGAGAAGGGCTTTTTTCTTTTTAATTATCAATAGTTAATTTGTGAAAAAGATAAATTTCAGAGGATAAAAGCTATGTGACTTTGAGCTGAATTCATTAAAGAGTTACTGCTAAAAAGGCAACTTTTCAAATATCTTATGTTCCTTTGAAGGTATCAACATATTTCTCATCAGAATTGCAGAAACATTTATTTTTCATTTGGTATTTCCTGTTTACAAGCTGACCTAGATTGTATTAGAGAAAAATGATTTAAAAAATGTCAACCAAAAGGTTTAGTTTGGGGTTTTAAGAAATATTTCAGGTTTACCTCTTGTATATCCCTCATACTCACATGGGATATAATTTATCTATGTTAATTTTCCTCTGTTGGCTAGCTGAAGGTATTTCTTAAAATAGAAGGAAATAGAAGATTTCCCTGTTCAGATGTGAATAATTTATTTGTCTCATGTCTATTTAAGCAGTGGATCCAACCCATGCTACTTAGTAAAACAACCCATACAAACCTCCACCAATTTCAAATTTGTATTCAAAATGAGATTAAAATATAGGCTGTCAACTAGAGATCGCACGTGAAAAGCAGGTACTCATTTCCCTTTTACTGGCATCTTTACAGGTGGGGTCAAGACATACTTCAAATTATTTAACTTTTATATATGATGGCTTTGCCAACATACATCATTGTGGCTTTTTTTCAGTTAGCATAGGAATCCTGTTATTAAAAAAATATTTTGCAAATGTAAAACCAATGGGAAACCTACACATTGATTTGGTCAACTTTTTGTAGATTTCTATAGATTAAAATAATAATGACATCAATCATGCTGCCCGCAGTTAAAGAGTTGTGGCAGACTGAGGCTGCAGAGATGTAAGATACACAAGGAGAAAGGAAGGTAAATGGATGCCCCAAGCCTTTTTCTACCCCTCTTCCTACTTCTTCCTTTTAAACAAGCACTCCCAAACCTCATAGAAAGCAGAGCTTTTCTCTTCCACAAGTGAACAAGCCATTTTGTTCCAAATTTGAATTAAGATTTTTTTTAAATAATTTTGAAAATGTTGTTTTCCAGAAACACCAAACAATTTTAAAAATAATTCTTTCCATTGCTATGATTATGAAAAGAACAGCTGGCTGTCCTGACACTCGAGGAAACTGATTTCAAGAGTCCTCTACTGAGACTGAGAGTCCTTAAAGGAGTCCCCTGAACACTGATGGTGCTTGATAAAATTAGGGTTTCAATTCAGTCCATTTCCTGGAAATCAGTCTGCAAACTCCAGTAGTATTCATAAAGAATAGCCAAGTAATTTTATCATCATGGTGGCAAATACTCCTCAAAGCCTTTTTTTAAGATATTGTAACTATTTAAACAGAGGATTCTTCATGAGCTGCATGTGACATCAGAGTGGGAAT